TGTTTACTGTACATGGATAAATCTATAAGGAGTGTTGATGTTGGAAGTACATTAGGGTTATGAATGTATATATACTTCTGCATGTACAATAGTACTTAAAAGTTTGTGAACCCTTTTGAGTTCTCAATATTTCTGCATAAATGCAGGTAGTCCTCAACTTACAACGGCACTGAAAAAAGTGACCTATGACCGTTTTTCACACGACTGTTGCAGCAGCCCCATGGTCATGTGATCAAAATTCAGATACTTGACAACTGACTCATATTTATGATGGTTGCAGTGTGCCGGGGTCATGTGATCACCTTTTGTGACATTCTGACAAGCAGTCAATGGAGAAGCCAGATTCACTTAACAACTGTGTTACTAACTTAACAACTGCAGTGATTCACTTAACAACTGTGCCAAGAAAGATCATAAAATGGGGCAAAAGTCACTTAACAACTGTCTTGCTTAGCAACAGAAATTTTGGGCTCACTTATGGTTGTAAGTCAAGGACTACCTGTATGACCTAAAATGTGTTCTGTTCTCCACACAAATCCTAAAACTAGATAAAGAGAACCCAATTAAACAAGTCAAAAGTTACATAATTGTGTGTGTCAAAAGTATGTGGAATCTCCAGGATTATCAGTTCATTTGAAGGAGAAATTAGAGTCAGGTGTTTGTGTGGGAGGTCATACCTTATTTAAAGAACAGAATTCTGGGTATTCACATCAAAGTCTGATCATAACAAAGGTATGTGGAAGTGCATCATGGTTTGAACAAAGGACATTTCTGTGGACCTCCAAAAACAGTTGTTGATGCTGACCAGGATGGAAAACGTTACAAAACTACTTCCAAAGATTTTTGACTCTACCAGTCCATGAACAGGTAGACTGTGTGCAAATGGAGGCAATTCAACATCACTGTTATCCTCTGCAGGACTGGTTGACCAACAAAGGTTACACCAAGAGCAAAGTGTGTAAAGGGCCGTAGTGGTGCAGTGGTTAGAATGCAGTATTGCAGGCTAATTCTGTTGAGTGCCGATTGCCAGCAGTTTGAATCTCATCAGCTCAAGGTTGACTCAGCCTTCCATCCTTCTGGGGTTGGTAAAATGAGGACCCAGATTGTTGGGGGCAAATATGTTGACTCTGTAAACCGCTTAGAGAGGGCTATAAAGCACTGTGAAGCAGTATATAAGTCTAAGTGCTATTGCTATTGCTAAGTGCTAATACTCGGGGGGGGGGTGTCTCAAAGAACCCCAGGGCAATGTCTGAGAAACTAAAGGCCTCTCTTAGAATGGTGAATGTCAGTGTTCATGAGACTACAATCAGGAGAACACTGAACAACAATAGTGTGCATGACAGGTTGGAACTGGAACTTTTTTAAAATTCCACCTTTATTATTTTTATAAATATCTCAAGGTGGCAAACATACCTAATACTCCTTCCTCCTCCTATTTGGCCCACAACAACAAACCTGTGAGGTGAGTTGGGCTGAGAGAGTGACTGGCCCAAAGTCACCCAGATGGCTTTCATGCCTAAGGTGGGACTAGAACTCACAGTCTCCTGCTTTCTAGCCTGGTGCCTTAAGTTTGCTAGTTGCAAGGAGAAAGCTACTACTCTCCAAAAAGTATATTGCTGTCTGTTTACAGTTTGTGAAAGACCACATGGATAAGCCAGAAGGCTACTGGAAGAATGTTCTGTGGACAGATAAGACCAAAATAGAATTTGAGGATTTGAATGAAAAATGTTACGTTTGGTGAATGGCAAACACTGCATTCCAGCATAAGAGCCTTATCTCATCTGTGAAACATGGTGCTGGAAGTATCATGGTTTGGGCCCGCTTTACTGCCTCTGAACCAGGATGGCATGCCATTATTGATGGAAATATGAATACTGAATTATATCAGCAAATCCACAAATTCTATAGGAAAATGTCAGGATATTTGTCCATGAACTGAGGCTCAAGGGGAAGTGGGTCCTGCAGCAAGACAACCCAAAATACCTAGGTTGTACAACCAAAGAATGGTTAAAGCCAAAGAAAATGTTTTGGAATGGACAAGTCAAAGTCCTGACTGTAATGAGGAAGGACCTGAAGTGGGAAGTTCATGTGAGCAAGCCCACCAACATCCCTGAGTTGAAGCTGTTCTGTAAGGAGAAAAGAGTTAAAATTCCTCAAAGCAGCTGTCCAGGACTGAACAACAACTGCTGACTGGCTCAGAACCCAAATTATTTGCAGCAAATGTAGGTCAGATAGTAAGATGCAATGAGGATTACGGAACTGAAAATCAATGAATCAAAGACTATGCTGTGTTTGACAAGGTAAAATAAAATGGATAATTGCAGATTATGTTTAAATGATGAAAAATAAGAGCAAATATATAAATGTAGATATCTTAGTATACTATAGTAGTATGCTAGTATACAAAAGAAAGGAAAACAGAGAAATGTTAACATATGCAAATGCTAATAGAAAAGTAATAAATAGTATGTGGTCTCTTGCAAGGGATGACTGTTTATTGATAGAATAAAACTGCTTGTATATAAAAGCATGCTTCAACCCCCACTGTTATATAGAAGTAAACCATGGCTATATCAGAAGAAACATAAGAGTAAGTGGAATGTAGTGGAAGAGCTGTGGTGGCACAGTGGTTAGAATGCAGTACTGCAGGCAGACTGCTACAGTTCAATTCTGACCAGCTCAAGGTTGACTCAGCCTTCCATCCTTCTGAGGTCAGTAAAATGAGGACCCAGATTGATGGGGGCCATATGCTGACTCTGTAAACTGCTTAGAGAGGGCTGTAAAGCACTATGAAGTGGTATATAAGTCTAAGTGCTATTGCTATAAATAGGGTACTTAAAAAGTGTGTGTGTGAAACAAGAAGAGAGAAGATTAAGAATTAATGATTGCTGAATGAATGTGGGTTGACTACAAAATAAGTAAATTAAGGTGATTTGGTGATACAGAGAGAATGAACAAGTGCCAAATTACAAAAACAGTATCTAAAGCTTTGATGTCACCTCTGTCCGGAAAACACTGCAGACAGTTAACATTCGGAAAGCAGCAGGCCCAGATAACCTCCCTGGACGTGTCCTCAGGGAATGCGCAGAGGAACTGGCTTGTGTTCTCACAGATATTTTCAACCTCTCATTGCAGCAGGCAGTGGTCCCATCGTGTTTTAAGATGGCCATCATCTTGCCAGTGCCAAAAAAGTCCACAATTACAGGCCTCAATGATTACCATCCGGTTGCACTGACATCCACCATCATGAAATGCTTTGAGAAGCTGATAAAGGACACTATTGTATCTAGCCTCCCGCCAGCATTTGACCCGCTTCAGTTTGCCTACCGACCAAATCGCTCTACGGAGGATGCTATTTCTTCCGTTCTCCATCTGAGCCTGAAGCACTTAGAGGAAAGAAATACTCATGTGCATTTGCTGTTTGTCGACTTCAGTTCGCCGTTTAACACAACCATTCCCCAGCATCTAGTAGACAAACTGGGCCTTTTAGGCTTAAACACTTTGTGCAACTGGATTCTTGATTTTCTTACCAACAGGCCCCAATATGTGCGAGTTGGAACAAATACCTCTAATACCATTTTCTTGAGCACAGGTTCTCCTCAGGGCTGCATCTTATGTCCACTGCTGTTCACCCTGTTGACTCATGACTGTTGTGCCAGGTTTGCCACCAACCATATTGTGAAGTTCGCAGATGATACAACAGTAGTGGGCCTTATTCAGGATGACAAGGTGGAAGCTTACCTCAAGGAGGTTGAGGGGTTGGTGAACTGGTGTAAGGAAAACAGCCTAGTTTTAAATACCGGAAAAACCAAAGAGTTCATTGTTGATTTCAGAAAAGGCAGGCACAGCCACACTTCTCTGTGCATTAATGATTCACCTGTGGAGATGGTTACCAGCATCAAATTCCTAGGTGTGCAGCTAACGAGTAGGCTGACTTGGTCGCTCAACAGTGAGAAACTGGTGAAGCGGGCACAGCAGCGCCTGCATTTTCTGCGTCGCATGAGAAAAGCACATCTTCCTTCCCCTGTCCTGACCACTTTCTACAGGGGGACGATCGAGAGCATCCTGTCATACAGATCACAGTCTGGTTTGGAAGCATCACTGCTTCAGACAGGAAGGCGGTGCAGAGAGTGGTGAGAATGGCCGAAAAGATCATTGGCAGTTCCCTCCCTCCCATCCAGGACATAGCACAGAAGCGTTGCTTGAGCAGGGTCCGTAAGATTATCTGGGACACTACACATCCTCTTCACGACCTGTTTTCCTTGTTACCTTCTGGGAGGAGGCTTCGTGGTATCCGTAGCAGAACATCCAGATTCAGCCATAGTTTCATTCCATACAGCATTAACCTTGTGAACTCTCAAGCTTCCTCCTTCCGTTATATATTCAAGATGGACAGTATTTAATATTTATTTGATACGTATATGTAGGGATGTGGGTCTATATATATGTTGTTCATAGTATGTTTAGGTGTGCGTCATGTATGTTTCACTTTGAGAGCGGGCAACTAAATTTCATTTTTGATCTGTGCCGTTGTGCCCACAGTAAAAAAATGACAATAAAGGTTATCTTATCTTATCTTATCTTATCTTATCTTATCTTATCTTATCTTATCTTATCTTATAGGAAGAGTGAATAGGTCAAAATGATGGTGAAGACTAAGAAAGCTGTAGTTGAATGGGGTTAATGATTCTCAAAAACAGAGTTGAGAGATTTAAGAAAAGACAATGTACAACAGGGGTATGTATGTGGAAGAAGCAATGATTTTTGCAAGAATAGAGAGGTATAATGTAATGAAATGGTGTTGGTCAAATTATATTTAGATATCTTTCCTTTTTTTTCTTATCTCATGCCTTTGATTTTGTTGGTGTATTTGTTAGCCTTCAAATTATATACAGAGCACTTAGACTACAATCTTATGTTCACATTTGGAAATCATAATAAATCCCAATCACCTCTTAGAGGCCCAAATAAAAGAGGGGAGGAATACAAATTATCTTTACCTGCTGTGCAGATATGGCAAGAAGAATGTGGTGCCCAAGCAATACCATTCACACATGCTCGGTGGTTATTCAGTCTGGCAACTGGTGTACAGGGAACTCTGACATCTAGAATCACCACCTTAGAGGGAAAAATAATTCTATATGTTAATTCTAAAGAAATTATCTTAGACTTTATTTTTATCCTTTCATTACCTAGTCTCTTAAGTGCTCAGAGCATTCACACTTCAATCCAGCTATCAAGTTAGCATATTTATTCCAAGTGACTGAAAAATACATTTGTCCCAATAATGAATATAAAAATATGATAGTATCTCCTGACTACAGACACTTTTTGCAAAGAAGCCTAGATGACAAATCACAATATAAAATCCTATGGCTGCTTATTAGTACAATTCACATATAAGGCTATCAGTATAATTTGTTTCTTTAAATTGAGAAATTAACATGAGTAATGTATTATTTCTAAAAATGAGTTCTGCTTGTAGAGATACTATAGCAACCAAAGGCAGGCTAGCTCTTCTCACCAAACCACCATAAGGATTACTAACTGTCCATTTCTTCATAGTATACTAGTATCTTTTAATTAACATGTATATCTACCTGGTTGTTTTACTTCATGGAACTGTATGCAAGTAAGATAATTTTGATAATTTTAAGTAATCCATGTAGTAAAAACTGTAGCCTCATTTCTTTCAGTACATAGTTGGAAAGCACAGATTATCAAGCTCACTATATACTCAGAAAAAAAGTGTACTAGGTATTCTTACAGAACAGTGTCTCACCTCCATACCATCCATTGCCATTGTTGCAAGGTAATTAGGATCTTGTTTATTCCAGCAAAGGCGGAGCAAAGGATGGTGCTGAGGATCCTCATAGATAATAGTGCTATGTTCCAAGTGCCGTAAGTCAAACATCCTCACTGAGCCATCAGCACCAACAGAAGCAAACATGTCTCTCCCACCTCCTGCACGGCTGAATGCAATATCATAAACCTGTTCAGATACCAATAGCAAAAAAGTGATAAAATATGATGCTTCCCATACTAAGGATCCTTGTCCTCACTGTAAAGGCAGGAGTAAAGAAGGTATATCCAACAAATTATTTGCTTTAGCTTAAAAAAGGACAATGCTTACCACAAAATAGGGCTTTAGGCATAACACTCTCTCCTTGTGAGCAGAATGTTTCTTTTACAAAATATTTTACTTTGTTGTATTGATTCCCCATTTTCAATGAATTACTAAAAGGAAAATAAATGCATTACTAATAGCAGCAATGCAACCCACCTTGGCTGCTACTTTACTATCTCCAATTTATACATTGATTTTTTTAAAAAAAAACTTTTAGTAACTGCACATAATTGCAGAAAAAGAAAAAAATACACCATCACCTCTTTGTCATGAGCAATCAACTGAGTCTTGACATGGCCAGACACTAAATTCACTCTTCCCAAGACCTGGCCAGTTTCCAAACCCCAGATAGTACAAGTTGTGTCAATGCTAGAAGTACCTGGCATAGTTTGAGAGGGAAGAAAAAACATATTAAGATTGTTTTTTCTTAAAAGCAATACATATATGGATCATTACATAAAATTTCTAATTCTAGACCTCAAAGTAAACCTCCACCCCTTCTTGATTTATAGAAAGCAACCTCAATGCGTCTATTAACTTTTTTTTTTAACAGTACAGGAATCTTTAGATCCCTTATAGCAGTCAAAACATTTAAATCAAACTACCAGCTTTAAAACAAAAATCAAAACATGTTTTTCTACATTGTGATTAATCAATATTCTATTGAATGCCATGGGACTATGACTGCCCATAATCATCAAAATATATTTGACTTGACTGTATTATTAATAAAAAAATAGAGTATTTGTTATAGGAGAACTAATGTGTATTAATAAAATTAAATTGTAATCAACTATAATCTATAACAGAATGAAAATACGTATATACATTTTAAGCATAGATACAATTCGCTAGTACAAACTTTAATTTTAAAGCCTTAGTGAGAATTCAAATAAACATTAAAATGGGAGAAAAAGGTACAAGACCAAGAATTTCCTACTTCCTTAGCTATTAAAATGAAGCCATGATGCAATTATAAAACAGACCACCAAAATCACAAATCATTCTGCTGAATAATTGACAATTAAAAAAATAGTACTTAACAATTTTGACTGACTAGTCAATTATTGTACCAACAAAGAATTGCCAAAAGAAGAGTGGTCAGAATAGATTTGTTCAGTAGTTTCAGGTCTTTTTGTTGGACAATGAAGGGACATACAACCCCACAGTCATGTGACAAAAATGTGGGTGTTTCGCAGTGTGCCCACTCTTACAACCGCAGGAGCGCAAGTCCTCCATGCTGGGAGGCCTTGGCCACCTAAGGCCCACTGGCATGTGGAAACCTGCTGTGGACCAGGAGGCCTCAACTGGGTAGGACCACTGATGCAGAAGCCTTCCCTCCACCCCACCACTCCAGGAAAGCTTGAGCCTTCTTCCCACCCCACTGCACAGGTCCACTTACCTTCCCTTTCCATGCAGCTGCTAATAAGCCAGCCCTCACAATGTTCTGAGGCTCTTTCTACCTTTGGAGACATTGCAAGACGAACACTAGGACATGAAGGAGTCTTGCAATGTTTCTGAGGCTCTTTCTAGCCTTCAGAATCTTCACAAGGGCTGGTGTTTGTTTCACGATGTTTATGAAGGTAGAAAGAGCCTTGGAACATTGTGAGACAAGTGTCAGCCCTCACGATGCTTGAGGCTTTCTACCTTCAGAAACATTGTGTTAGCTAGCTTTCTACAGTAGCTGTGCCTCACAACAGCTGGGCATGCTTCTCAACAGCTGCACAGAAAGGGAAGGTAAATGAACTTGCCCAGTTGGGTGGGAGGAAGGCCCATGCATTGGTAGGCCCAGTGGCCTGAGGCCTCCCAGCCCATGGCAGGTTTCTTTAGGCCAATGTGCACTGAGCCTCCCCCATCCTCTGAGGTTCCCCTGTGGAGTCACATAATGACCCATGTAGTCACTTAATGACCGCAATGGGGTGTGTGTGCTGGGATTGTGGTCGTTGAGTGAGGCAGTCACATGGGTGCCTTGCTTAACGACCACAATGACTTACAACCCAAATTGCAGGCTTAATTGTGATTGTAAGTCCACTTAGTCTCCTCTGGCCATGGTTCCAGAAAATTATTGGTATACAGGTAGTCCTCGACTTACGACCACAATTGAGCTCAAAATTCCTGTTGCTAACCAAGACAGTTAAGTGAGTATTGCCCCATTTTCCAACAATTCTTTCCATAGTTGTTAAGTGAATCACTGCAGTCATTAAGTTACTAACATGGCTTCCCCATTGACTTTACTTTTCAGAATGTCACAAAAGGTGATCACATTACCCTGGGACACCGTCATAAATACATGCCAGTTACCAAGCGTCTGAATTTTGATTATGTGACCATGAGGATGTTGCAATGGTTGTGTGATAAATGGTCATAAGTCACTTTTTCCAGTGCTGTTGTAACTTCAGTCACTAAATGAATGGTTGTAAGGACTGCCTGTAATTTCTTGGAATTTTGAGAACAGATGAAAATAAGCCCAGTCAGAAGTAAAACAAAGAAACTTGTCTAAATTCCCCTCTCACTTAAATCCATGATGTAGCTCCATCCATTTGCAGCTATCCCCCCCCCCAATATGTTAAGGCCACTGGCCACCAAAAGATTGTCTACATCTTGAAGATAATATGAAGTCTACCTTTGGCTAGTTTCTGAAGCTGATATCTGCCAACAATTTTCTTAGCTAAATTTATAAATAGAACTCGTTATTTTAATCATGTTACCTGGAGGAAAGTTGTCCATGGGGTCGCGATGGGTCGGACACGGCTTCGCAACTAACAACAACAACAACATCATCATCATTCTGCTACATCAGTATTTGTCCCTTACCTAATAGATAAGGATCCACTTCATTCCAATCAAAGGAGGTCAGTGGAGCACAAAAATCAGAATTCTTATTGTTGTTCAGCAGACATTCTAGCCTGGTCTCTGTTTCACCCACCTGAACAAAAGATATCAATATATGCTTGTCATCAGATTGAGTCAGTTTACTTATTTAAAAGAGTATGGATTCCATAAAATGTAGGGAAAAGGCCATTCTGTGTATTGTCCTGCAAGTTCTCATGCTTTTTCATAATATTTCATTGCATCCAAAGAGCAAAATCAGAGACAGTATATAGTTTTCCCATTACAATTATTCAATTCTTCATTATATTAAAAATATAATTCAAAAAGAGAGGTTTTTTAGTTAACTTAGAGCAGGGGTGTCAAACTGCTGGCCCGTGGGCCGGATGCATCACGCGGAAGCCGCACCCACCCCATTGCCAGCAATGGCAAAACTCTCCCGATACGTTGAGCGGCGTCACGTGACGTCGCGAGTTTGACATGTCTGACTTAGAGGGAATTCTTTCAAGCAGCAGGATTGTACTTCTACCTGAACCCTTAACATCTGCTCTAATAGAATTTGAGGGGGCACAGAATAAAACCCAACTGCATGAATACATTTCTTCAGTTCATGCAATTTTGGATTTAACTAGAGGTATCAGCAGGAGGTGATAAATGGGGGCAAATGACAAGAACAGTGTTGTGCCCTACACATACAAAATGGGTGCAATGCTGCTTTCATCATTTTGACAAAATGTCAGCTCTTCTTGGTTATAATTTAATCTCAAACTGATTTCCTTCTTTAAATTTGTTTTGAACTATATTCAATGTACTGTATTATTCATTGTGATTACGATAAATTCAATGTTTCTTTTTTAGGGGGAATTACTGTTGATAATTACTGTAAGCAATCCTCTCATAAAATCTCACAAGAGACTTAAACTTCAATATCTTGCAGCAGGTTTTTGTGGTTTTATATCCCACAGATACAAGGAATATAATCTTATATGCATAGACACAGGATTATATTATTTTTGCTGTTCCTTTCATGAGATAAGGACCAATATCAGACTTCAAGGGTCTACCTTATTTTTTTAAAACAGATCATCAAGGTCTACTAACCAGAAGTACAGTGGATATAAAAAGTCTACACACCCCAGGTTTTTGAGATGTAAAAAAAAATCAGACCAAGATAAATCACTTCAGATTTTTTTCCACATTTAATGTAACATACAAGCTGCATGATTCAATTATGGCCTTTCCCCTACATTTTATTTTAGATAAGAGGAAACTGTCCTCTTATCTAAAATCTGAATAAGCTATTCTGTGAAAGAGGAGGAATCAATCAAAAATACACTCAATGTATCAGAGAAAAGCTAACATACACATACAGGTGACACTTTTGAAGTGGTAATAAGAAGCAGAATATTGACATACAGTGGATATAAAAAGTCTACACACCTTTGTTAAAATACCAGGTTTTTGAGATGTAAAAAAATCAGACCAAGATAAATCACTTCAGATTTTTTTCCACATTTAATGTAACATACAAGCTGCACGATTCAATTAAAAAAAAACCTGAAAACTTTTAGGGGGGAAATATTACAGTAAGGTGGTTGCATAAGTGTATAAGCCTCTCATAAGTAGATATGTGGCTGTGTTCAGAATTAACCAATCACATTCAAACTGATGTTAAACAGTAGTCAGTACACACCTGCCATCAATTAAAGTGACTGTGATCAAGCCCATATAAAGTTCAGCTGTTCTAGTAATATTTCTCTGACATTTACTCAGTTGCCTCTTACAGTAAAAGCCATGGTCTTCAAACATCTTAAAAAGCATCAAAGGGATCTCATTGTTGCAAGGTATCAGTCAGGAGAAGGGTACAAAAACATTTCCAAGGCATTGCATATACCCTGGAAGGCAGTGAAGACAGTTATCAACAAGTGAAGAGAATATGGCACAACAGTGATATTACCAAGAACTGGATGTCCCTCCAAAATTGATGAAAAAGAAGAAAGAAAAGTGGTCAGAGAAGCTGCCAAGAGGCCTACAGCAACATTAAAGGAGCTGCAGGAATTTCTAGCAAGTCCTGGTTGTGTATTACATGTGTACAATCTCCTTTATTCTTCATATGTCTGGGCTGTGAGGTAAGGTGGCAAGACGGAAGCCTTTTCTTACAAAGAAAAACATCTGAGCCTGGCTACATTTTGCAAAAACCTGCATCAAGTCTGGCAAAAGCATGTGGGAAAATGTGTTAGTGTTTTCCCCAAAATAAGATCCAACCAGAAAATAAGCCCTAGCATGATTTTTCAGGATGATCGTAATGTAAGCCCCACCCCCAAAATAAGCCCCAGTTAAGACTGTCAGACAGACTCATTTAGTACAGTATTTCCCTGACTATAAGCCCTAACCAGAAAATAAGCCCTAATGCATCTTTTGGAGCAAAAATTAATATAAGATCCGGTCTTATTTTGGGGGAAACACGGGTATGGTCTGATGAGACCAAAGCTGAACTTTTTGGCCATAATTCCAAGCAGTATGTTTTGCGCAAAACCAACACTGCATATCACCAAAAGTACACCATTCCCACAGTTAAGCATGGTGGTGGCAGCATTATGCTTTGGGGCTGCTTTTCTTCAGCTGGAACTGGGGCTTTAGTCGAGGTGAAGGGAATTATAAACAGTTCCAAATATCAGTCAATTTTGGCACAAAACCTTCAGGTCTCTGTTAAAATGTTGAAGATGAAGAGGACTTTCACCTTTCAACATGACAATGACCCAAAGCATACCTCCAATTCAACAAAATAATGTTTTCACCAGGCAAAGATCAAAGTTTTGGAATGGCCCGGCCAAAGCCCGGACCTGAATCCTATTGAAAATCTGTGGAGTGACATGAAGAAGGCTGTGCACAGGACATGCCCTTGCGATCTTGACAGATTTGGAGCACTCTTGCGAGGAAGAGTGGGCAAAGATTCCCAGGGCAAAATGTGCCATGCTGATAGGCTCCTACCCAAAAAGACTGAATGCTATCATAAAAGCAAAAGGTGCTTCAACAAAGTATTAGTTTAAGCATGTGCACACTTATGCAACCACATTATTGTACTTTTTTTTTTTATTTCCCCCCCAAAAAAAAGATTTTAGTTTGTTTTTCAGTTGAATTGTACAGCTTAAATGTTAAAGGTGGAAAAATTCTGAAGTAATTTATCTTGGTCTGATTTTTTTTTTATATCTCAAAAACATGGCATTTTAACAGGGGTATGTAGACATTTCATATCCACTTTATATAAAGAGTATTTCCAGTAGCACAACTAAATGCACGGTGCTTTCACGCAAAAAATCTCCCTGGAGTGTTGGATTACTGTTACTCCCCTGTCAATGGTCAGACCACTTTCTGATTGCCTTGAAATGCTCCAATGCTGCTCCCTGCTGCAGAGAGGCTGAACTTATATGAATATCATCCCAGGCACTGATGGGCCCTATTTGATTCCAGTGAGAGCTTGGAGATTGTTCCTGAAGGTCTGATGCATAGTCTGATTGAGGTTTCAGTCATTGTGTGGAAGGAGAAGGCGGTTGTGGGCAGGGATCGGATCATGCCTATATGACTTCTCTTCTGCTGTGTATCCCAGGGTTCCCCTTGGTTTACAGAGGAGCTGAGGGAGGTGAAAATGTAAGAAGAGACACCTAAAGCAGTGCTGGAGGACAACAAGGGATGAACCTGATGAAGCATGAACTACAGCCATTATTAAGGTAAAGGTAGTAAAATACTCTGTGGATAGCTGTCCTGTTTAGAATTACTTGGTCTGTCTTTGGGAACCAGAGATTCTCTTCCAGAGCCTCTGTAAGGAATATGCTAGGCATCTTCAGATAAAGGCATTTGGATTTGCTCCAAGTTGGGCTCTGGCCTTGAAGCAGATCCTATGGAGATAACCAAGACTCAGTCTGGTTCTGTTATCTCGGATGAGTTTGATCCTGTTAGTCGTGATGAAGTGGACAGGGTTCTTGGAACTGCAAGCTTGGTGTTCTGATCCATGTCACGCTGGCAAGGCAGAGGTTACCCTTGGTACCCACAAATACCAAGTCCGCAACACAAGTCCAGAGTTCCAAAAAACAAGGCACGGTCCAAGAGTCTGAAGTCAGAGAGCCAAGTCCAAAGTCCACAAGCGAACTCCGAAGTTCACAGCCAAGAAACACGGTCCAAGATTCACAAGGAAGTATTCACGAAAACCGGGAAAGTACACATCAAAGCAAACAGGTGTTCCTGACAAACATACCTTCCCCCAGCATCTGGTTAAATCACTCCTCAGTTCCTTGTGAGGAGGGGACTGTGCTATGCCTGTCAGACAGTCCTGGTTCCAACTCCTCCTCCTCTGAACCGGGATCCGACAAAGCCATGACACTTGGCCACCTGTATATTAGACCCATGTCCCTCCTGCTTAGCTAAGACTTTCTGGAAAATCATGTGCAGTTGGGTCCTGGTGGTGGTGAATTCATCACTGAGAAAGGGCAATGTCCCACCAATGTTGAAAGAGGTGATGGTTCACCTCCTCAAGAAGCCTTCATCTGAACTGACAAGATTGGACTTCTTCCTGTGTCCAAACATCACTTTGGGGGGAAAGTGTTGAGAAGGTGGTCATGCTGTAGCTTCAGCAGATCATTTGGATCCCTTTCAGTCAAGTTTCATAGCTGGATACAGGATTGAAACAGCACTGACTGTGCTTGTGAATTGCCTTTGTCAAGAGCAGGAAAGGTTAGTGCTCCCATTCTGGCTTTCCTTGATTGCTCAGCAACTTTCAATACCATTGGTCATGGTATTCTTCTATACTGGTTCCAGGGGTTGAGAGCGGGGGTACAATCTTGTGCTGGTTCTCCTACTTCTTCCAAGGCTAATTGTAATCAGTGTTGGTGTGCGAGAGAAATCTGACCCTAGGCCCCTTTTATGTGGGGTGCCTCAGGTTTGGACTCTCTCCACTCCTATTTAACATCTACATGAAGCATTTGGGAGAGGTTATCTAACAGCAGGGAGTGAAGTATCATCAATAAACTGATGATAGCTAACTCCACATCTCTGCTCCAGACCAAGCAGGTGATGCTGTACAGGTCTTGTCTGTGTCTAGAT